TGTTGCCTGGTTCTTTTATTTCCTCCAGCCTAAATCCTCTTTTTATTATCATGATCAGTGTATAGACCAGAATCATTTTAAACAAGATACATTTTCTCTGCTAAAAATATGAATCTGTCATATATTAAACCAGGTGTTGATTAGTTATAGTACTAGAATAGTTCGGGGTCTGGTATAGTTTTAATGAACTTTTGGGACAATTCCAGCCAATAATGGAAATAAAACATAGCATCTCTGTAATTATTGCAATTGGATTATGGGCAGTGTACAATATAATCAATAGAATATAGAATAATAGAGTTGGAGGGGACCTTGAAGATCTTCTAGTCCAACCCCCTGCTTAGGCAGGAAACCCTACACCATCTCAGAGAGTCCTGCCCTCAGTTGCTTTGGCGAGTAGCTTGACTTCCTCTTCTTTGTGGCAGCCCCTGAAATGTTATTTGCATAATTTTAAATTTTAATCTTAAATTATTCTGACTATATTCTTATTCTATTGATTATATTGTACACTGCCCATAATCCAATTGCAATTGCAATAATTGCAGAGATGCTATGTTTTATTTCCATTATTGACTGGAATTGCCCCAAAAGTTCATTAAAACTATACCAGACCCCGAACTATTCTAGTACTATAACTAATCAACACCTGGTTTAATATATGACAGATTCATATTTTTAGCAGAGAAAATGTATCTTAAAATGATTCTGGTCTATACACTGATCATGATAATAAAAAGAGGATTTAGGCTGGAGGAAATAAAAGAACCAGGCAACAACTCTTAACGTTTATATTCTATTCTTTGTTGTAGATATGAAGTTTGGGAATGAAGTTATTACTGAGGAAAGATTTAGGGATCAAAGAAAATCAAGCATAATGATTATAAAGGAAAAATAAGCTAGGTCATGGGCAATATGAAAAACTTTTCAATACTTGAGTACTTGAATTTAAAACTCCTTGAACCTAGAGGTTTTTTTTTCTGCATTACCTCTGCAAAATTAATTCCCAAAGTAATTTATGTATTTAATAGCATATTCATACTTCTGCAATTGTTGTGACTCTCGGCATGAATGGAGCGACTTACACAACACCATGGCAATTTGCATTATCTGTCTTTGTCTCTATGTTCAAAGTTTAAATCTCTTTCCATAAACATATTTCTGGGGCAGCCACTTTTTTTTAAATTCTATTAGCAAGTATAACTTTGTCCTTGACACTCTTAATTCAGCGAATGCTAATTCAAGTTTGGTATTCAATTTGTCTATTAAATTTCCTTTCTTGGTGGCTTCATGCCCTTTTAATTGCATATGTGAATAAGTAATGAAGAGTTTTGTTTCAGCACTTACATGATTTATGCTGCACACATTACTGTTACTAAATGAAAACAGATCAAAACAATGCATTACTCTGTTAACTCTGCGGTAGTTATTAGTTGACCTGTTTAATGCCATACTGTAAAACAAACACTGGTAGGCCCTGCACAATTGATGAACATGTCAATGTTCCAGATAGCCATGGAAGAGAAACTTTTCAGAAGCTCATCCAAATAATTCTTTGGCACATTAACCCACAGGGTAGAACAAGAAGCAATGGGTGGAAACTAATCAAGGAGAGAAGCAACTTAGAACTAAGNAGATATAGATATAGATATAGATATAGATATAGATATAGATATAGATATAGATATAGATATAGATATAGATATAGATATAGATATAGATATAGATAGATATATAGATACAGATACAGATACAAATACGGATACGGATACGGATACGGATACGGATACGGATACAGATACAGATACAGATATAGATATAGATATAGATATATAGATTAGATATAGATATATAGATATATAGATTCACCTCCATTTATAAGTGCCTTTCATCAAATTGTTATTATCAAATTTATTAATGTAAGGAATTTCAAACAGATCATGAGCAGAAAAGCCTACTAGGACAGAAATATAACAAAAAAAAATAACACCCACTTAGGTCACTGGTTCGAGTCCCATGTCATCAAAACTGCGTTGATATCAGCCGCTCAGCCAACCTGATACTAGGAAGTCTCAAAATTCAGGGAACTGCCAGCTGTTCTTCTTTTCCGTTTGGCCAAGAGGAAAACACCCAAAATATCATTCCGTTCGGTGTCACATCTTTTAAAAAATGGGGGGGGGAGAACCCTGCGTACAGAATTTGACATGCAAAATTAGGTTTATTGATTTATTGGTTTTGTTTTTTGTATGCCGCCCACTCCCGAAGGACTCTAAGGAAAGTCACAAGAGGAAAGAGAGGAGGAAAGAAGAAGGTAGAGAAGGGTTGTTGGGAAGAAGGAAGGAGTAGGGTTGTGGCCAAATGAGATGGCAAGAAAGTGATCCCAATTGTATTTTTTATATTCTTAAGCAGATTGTGATAAATGCTAGAAGCCAACAGATAAATGTTAATAGTATCTACAAGAATCTATATTTGTGGATGTATATGGAAAGAAATAAAAAATAAAACTTTTCAAAAAACTGAATCGGTTCTGCAGAGGCTATGGATGACTGTGGGACTCTCGAGTTTAGTTCCATTACTAGCGAAGTAAAATTGCAGAGTGAAATTTTGTAAAGTTCTTCTATTCTATTCCTAGAATAATCAGCTTTGTTCTAAAGAACAACTCAACCAGCGTAATTATGTGTAATGTATCCACTCAGTTGTCTTTAAATTCATTCCATTCCTTTGATGCCAAATGGTAGGTCAACATTTGAATACAAATCAGATTTTTTAAATAAACAATTTTGTAGAGAGAATTTTGTTTAAATGGGGTCCCCAGAACTGTAAAGGTATCAAAACAGCCAAGATGGCAGTTGTAACCAACAACTGACTTTTTCTGACACTCACACACACCTCTCCACTGTGGACATCACTCGTCACGCTAGGCATTTGGTTTCGTTTTAATCCCAGCACTTAAAATCTATTCTGCTTTCCAGAGATGGCTTTTAGAAATGCTCAAAAGAATATTGTTAACACCTTAATTCATAATAATTAACGAAGCTATTTGAGCTTTCAAACCTCTTTCTTTTTTCTTTTTTTTTTTTTGTCCTGCTAGGAGAAGTACGAGATGTACTCAGTGGAGATGGAGAAATACGATGGGGAAATGGATGTGAAGATTAAGAAGAAGAAAAACAAAGGGTTGAAGAAAAAAGAGAAGTTGGAGAATATGAAGAAAGAGATGGATGTGGTAAGCCATAAATTGTTGTTATTGTTAGTTGCAAAGTCATGTCCGGCCTATCACGACCCCATGGACAACGTTCCTCCAGGCCTTCCTATCCTCTACCATCCTCTGGAGTCCATTTCAGCTCATGTCGAACGGGTCCATTTCCAGACTCCAGAGGGCCTCCGGAGCTTGGGGGAAGCAGTTTTCGCCCTCCCAGAGGCTCGAGGAAAGCCTGAAGTCTGGGGAAGGCAAAAACGCCCCCCACACACACACATTGTGGTGCAGGAGGCTGGCTAGACCACACCCACCATGGCCCTGCCCACCCAGCAGTGATGGATTTCAAAAAATTTTAGACTCTCTTCTGTAGGTGTGGCCTGCTTTGTGGGAGTGGCTTTGCCAGCCATGTGACCGGGTGGGAATGGCTTGCTGGCCATGTGACCGGGTGGGAGTGGCTTGCCAGTCATGTGACTGGGTGGGTATGACCAACTTGTAAAATGTGGTGAAACTCACTTAACAACGCTCTTGCTTAGCAACCAATATGNATTTGTCTGAAACAGTATAGGGTTTCCTGCCTAGGCAGGGGGTTGGACTAGAAGACCTCCAAGGTCCCTTCCAACTCTGCTATTGTATTTGTATTGTATTTTATTGAGACTACCGCTGATACACCACTACTATTAAAGACAACTGAAAGCCACCTCGCTCATGAACGGGACGAGATGAAGACGATATCTTCCAATACGTGGAAGGAAAAAAAATGTGGCATGTTTATAATGTCCTTTGCTTCTACAACAGACTCAGAAATAGAAATGAATATCTCAAGACAGCAGGCAGGGAACTGTGATCCAAATTATGCCCCTTTTGGAACAGGGCAGATTGCTTTTATTGTAATCCTGCAACTTACAGATTTTTGACATGGTCATACCGTAGAAGCTGTGGCTCCATAAAATTAATAAGGGAAAGGAAACTTGTATTTAATATTACATGTTTGGACAGCAGTAAGGATTGTATTCGCACAATATTGGGAAAAATGAGGAAACTCCGAGAGGAGGAAGAGAAGTAATTTAAATATATATATATATATATTAAACTGTGCAGAAATGCACGGATAAAAGAAAAAGAAGATACAGAGTATTTTGAAACATGGGACTTATTTTATAAATGGTTGGATAACAGAGATAGAAACTAGGAACAGGAAAAGTACTATTATGGAAGCAGATTGACCCAGACAATACACCGTTCACAAAGCACTTGTGTATATTAAATGAAAATGTATAAATAAACTGTTAGGAAAAATAGCGAACAGCTCGAAGAGTATGTCTCATTTTATGCCCTAAAATGCTTCATCCCAAAACAATATGTAATCGCCTTGCAAAGGTCTAGATTTCATTTAACTAAATGGGAAGTGAAGACATATCGCACAATTGCGTGTGGTCCTTGCAACAGATGTCGAATTGTGTGTTATTACTTGACTTAACCACATCTATTGACTAGTTTTGTTTCTGCTTGTGGTTTGGGTTATTGAAACAGTTACAAAAGAACCTTTTCCGGAATACTCTTGTGTCAGAGGGTACAAAGGCTTCATTATATTGTCATTGGAAAGAATGTCATTGGTTTCCTTCCAGGAAGGGCCTTCCAGGTTAGATGCTTTCTTTGGAATGGCCCTTGTACATACAGGAATGTCAAAATGACATCCTGATCATCCTCGTCTGATGAAAAGAAGACTAGGAGTGACAGGATAGCAATGTTCCAATATCTCAGGGGATGCCCCAAAGAAGATGTGTATTATTTACCCTCTTTAAAATGTCAACAAGAATATATGATAAATTATGTGATGAGAGACATAATTAGTTGACCCCCACGATGTAGAAAAGATGTGGAGACTCTAGAAAGAGTGCAGAGAAGAGCAACAAAGAGGATTTGGGGACTGGAGACTAAAACATATGAAAAACAGTTGCAGGAACTGGGTATGTCTGGTTTAATGAAAAAAAGGACCAGGGGAGACATAATAGCAGTCTTCCAATATCTCAGGGGTTGCCCAAAGAAGAGGGAGTCTTCTCCAAGGCACCTGAAGGCACGACAAGAAGCAATGGGTGGAAACTAATCAAGGAGAGAAGCAACTTAGAACTGAGGAGAAATTTCCNAACCTCTTCTGTAGGTGTGGCCTGCTTTCTGGGTCCACTGGTGGAACCTCTTCTAACCAGTTCGGTAGATTTGACGAACCGGTTCTACCGAATAGTTGCGAACTGGTAGGAACCCACCTCTGTATCCGACCCATCGCGACCCCATGGACAATGTTCTTCCAGGCCTCCCTGTCCTCTACCATCCCCCTGAATCCATTTAAGCTCACGTCGACTGCTTCAGTGACTCCATCCAGCCACCTCGTTCTTCTTTTGCCCTCCATCCTTCCCAGCATGAGGCTCTTCTCCAGTGAGTCCTTCCTTCTCATTAGATGGCCAAGTTCCATCTTCAGGATCTGGCCTTCTAAAGAGCAGCCAGGATTGATCTCCTGTAGGACTGACTGATTTGATCACCTTGCAATCCAAGGGACTCGCAGGAGTCTTCTCCAGCACCACAGCTCAAAGGCCTCCATTCTTTAGCGCTCAGCCTTCCTTATGGTCCAACTTTCACAGCCATCCATTGCAACTGGGAAAACCATAGCCTTGACTATACACACTTTTGTTGGCAGGGTAAGCCACCAGAGCCTTGTTTATATGAACAAAAACAAGGTTAATTCCATCAGGCCTCCTCAATCTAATCCATTTCATAATTCGCAATTAACCTCTCTTCAAACCTCTCTGAATAACAGAGATTGCCTCATTTCAAGGGCATTTGGAATTAATTATTTTGTTTCCTAAACATTTTGGTATGCAAATGCTAGAGCTGCAAAATCTGTTCAATACTGTGCCTCTTCAATTTTCTGAGACAATGTAATAAATTATATTATTGTTTAAATACCAGCTGTGTACGATTAAATATACAAGCTAAATTGCTTTTTTCTCCCCCATCTGTAATACTATATATTCTTTGCCTTCATGCCCGATATGCTTCATGTCTGAAATTTAATCTCCTGGCCTCCAGAATCAATTCCCACTTATCTGGAATTTTGAAATCATTTCGTTTTGTGGGTTTATCTTGTTAATCTGAAGAAATATTTGTTGACTGTGCTTATGTATTTATACAAAACAGCAGGAGAGAACATTGAATGAAGGACCATGCTCAAAAGACGACATCTCTCCATCCACTGAAATCATATTCTTATCTTGGGTCTCTCCTCTTTTTAGGATGATCATCAGCTGTCTATAGAAGAATTGGAGAGGAAATATAGGACCAACATCAAGAAGGTGAAGCCCTTTGACAAAAAGAGTATTAGCAGTCACTAATACTAATTAGAATGCGGCCGCTCGGGTTGTCATGGGGGTACCTCCCATGTTACACCTCTTTTAGGCGGCCTGCACTGGTTGCCGGTTGTTTTCCGGGTGTGATTCAAGGTGTTAATTATGATCTTTAAGGCGTTCCATGGCTTAGGCCCAGGGTACTTGCAAGACCGCCTACTGCCACTAGTAGCCTCCCACCGTCCAGTAAGATCCCAAAGAGTTGGCCTCCTCAGGGTGCTGTCGGCCAGGCAATGTTGGCTGGTGACCCCCAAGGGGGAGAGCCTTCTCTGTGGGAGCGCCTTCCCTTTGGAATGAGCTGCCCCTGGAGCTTGGCATAATCCCCGACCTCTGTGCCCTAAAAAGTTGGCTTTTTCAGCAAGCCGGCCTGCCCTGAATAGAATAAATTAAATTATTAATTTTAAATTGTTAATTTTAATTTAATCCTAAATTTGATTTAAATTGTCAGTTGAAGGTTATTGGATTTCCCGTTTGATCTTTTTTAACTTTTCTCATATGTGTTTTTATGTTGTATGCCGCCCTGAGTCCTTTGGGAGAAGGGCGGCATATAAGTCCAATATAACCAAATCAAACCAAGCGGCAAACTGAGAGGAACACATGTTTTCATAGTTCATCATAACCCCTTCGGAAGCCTCGAAAGTACGGTGGCCCTCTAGTTGAAAGGAAGTGATACATGGGGAATAAGGCTGCCGTAAATTGATTGCACTGAGGTGGCTCAGTGGCTAGGATGCTGAGCTTGTCGATCGGAAAGGTCGGCAGTTTGGCGGTTCGAATCCCTAGCGCCGTGTAACAGGGTGAGCTCCTGTTACTTGTCTTAGTTTCTGCCAATCTAGCAGTTCGAAAGCACGTAAAAATGCAAGTAGAAAAATAGGGACCAGCTTTGGTGGGAAGGTAACAGTGTTCCATGCACCTTCGGTGTTGAGTCATGCCAGCCATATGACCACAGAGATGTCTTTGGACAGTGCTGGCTCTTTGGCTTTGAAATCGAGATGAGCACTGCCCCCCACTAGAGTCAGGAATGACTAGCACATATGTGTGAAGGGAACCTTTATATTTACCTAAATTGATAGCCACATTCATTGAATCCATGATGGGCAAAAGTCTAGGAGTCGGGGGCATTACTGATTTATTATTACTACATATTGATATCTGGCCTCCTTGTCTATCTGCTTCCAGGGTTTGACCAGCACAGTGGCCGGAGAGATTATGCTTCGTGATGGTCCCAATGAATTGAAGCCCCCCAAAGGCACTCCAGAGTACGTGAAGTTTGCCCGTCAGCTGGCTGGGGGGCTGCAGTGCCTGATGTGGGTGGCAGCTGCCATCTGTCTCATTGCCTTTGGCATCCAGTGTGGCCAAGGTGACCTTACCAGCGCAGACAATGTAAGTGCCACGCAGCAGAAACAGACCATCAATTGGTGGTCACCGGGACAGAGAGAGAGGCAATAGTAAATAGAATGACGATGCAAAGTGGGCGGGGCTAAGCCTCAGGTGGGCAGGGTCAAGAATTGACTGTTTCTTCTCTAGGTTTTAATGTCATGATTTAATTGTATACTTTGAAGGATGTTGGATCCCTAGGAGTAGATGAATTCAGAACAACAAGGCTGGGCTTCTGCATGGTTACCATATTTAGGCTGAAAAAAAATCAGATAGCAGTAGCAGTTAGACTTATATACCACTTCATAGGGCTTTCAGCCCTCTCTAAGCGGTTTACAGAGTCAGCATATTGCCCCCACAGTCTGGGTCCTCATTTCACCCACCTTGGAAGGATGGAAGGCTGAGTCAACCTTGAGCCGGTGAGATTTGAACCGCCGAGCTGCGGATAGCAGTCAGCTGAAGTGGCCTGCAGTACTGCACTCTAACCACTGCGCCACCTCAGCTCTTGATGATATGTACATCAGGGGTCCTTCAACCCCTGGGCTGCAGCCTGTTTGAAACTGAGCTATGTGAGCAGCGGGTGAGTGCACGCTCACGTCTGCAACTCCACTTGTGCGAGTGGCAGGCATTCACACACGAAGCGCCACTTGTGCAAGCAGTAGGCACTCGCAGAGAACCATCCCCTCTCCCCTTCCCACCAGGCCAGAGAGGTTGGGGAGCATTGACACAGAATAATAGATCAGGGGTGAAATTCTGCAGCTTCTGGAGAACCAGTAACGGAAATTTTGAGTAGTTCGGAGAACCGGCAAATACCGCCTCTGGCTGGCCACAGAGTAGGGTGGGAATGGAGATTTTGCAGTTTCTTTCCCCCTGCCACGCCCATCAAGCCAGCCAAGCCATGTTCACAGAACCAGTAGTACAAAAAAAATGAATTTCATCACTGTAATAGATGGTTACAAAAATCTGTTTGCTACCATCTAATGGCCAGAATATCTCGGATGCGACACCCAGAAAAATACGGCATACTTCACTTAATCCTCCAGGGAAAGATCGAAGGCAAAAGAGGTCCAGGCAGAAGAAGAACATCATGGCTTCAAAATCTAAGTCTGGAGAAAACTCAACAGCACTTTTTCATGCAGCTGTTGATAAAAAATAGGATCGCCAACATCCAATGACAGATATGTTTGACAAACTAATAAATACAAATTGCAAATACGGCCCAAGAAGAAGAATGCCCATCTATATTTTAGCAGATAAACTTTAAACCTCATAGGCCCTAGGGATATTTTCTAGTCCACCTTCTCCTCCTTTAGCAAACACAATCAGTTCTAGCTTGTTAAGCAAGCAGAGAGATTGTTTAAACAAGCTATTTCTCTGGAGCTGCTTTTCAAGGTAATATCCGGCCTTCCTAAAAAATGCTATTTGCAAGTTAAGAAGCTCAGCTGTGACCTTAATTGATTCATTTAGAACCCTTCCCAGCTCAAAGCTGTTGCCTGAAACTTAAACCCTGTTTCACACTGAGAGCTTTTATACTCAGGGGTAAATGGGCATATTCAGCGCTGGGTTTCACATTTTGTTACCACCGGTTCGCCATGCACGCGCACCCCTACTGCGCATGTGCTTTGCTTCCTTCCGCACACCTTCCCATAACATGCGCCCGGCCTCAAAAACATGCCTAAATAGAACGGCATAGAGTCAGGGTGGGTGGGTAGGCCCACCCACAATTTCCACTACCAGCTCAGCTGAACTGGTCCAAACTGGCTGAATACCATCTCTGGGCATATTGGCCAGAAAATGAAAATTTGCTAGTGTTTATTATTGTCCTGTTTGAGAATGGTTGTTAAAGAAGCTAGTTGCTAAATGAGGAGTGGCTGTATAATAAGTGTGATGTTTGGCAGGATTAATTGAAGCAGTGCATGCATGCATGTATGTATGTATGTATTTAGTGTCACAACCCCTGGTATGCCCAAATATGGGAGGAAGCCTACTGCTTCCTTTCT